ACTGTATATATATAAAAGCATAACTATAAGGCTACGAAAACCAAACGAATTTTATTTTATAGCAATCATACACTTGTATAAACATATTAATGGGTAGAATATTCAGATTCAGATTCAGATTGATAATAAACCATGCCAAATATTACACACTGGCCCTTTAAATGATCTTGTTATTAATTTAAGATTTATGGCTGCTGGGAGAAATCTGCCTTCAGGGCTTTAAGCCAGATAGACCTTAAGTTTTATGAAAAAGATCATGTTTTGGGTTAAAATGAAAAGATTTCTTCCATAAAAGACTCTCTGGCAGAAAGCCCTGAAGGTTAACTTATCCCATTTGAGGTTTCATGCCTGTTAGTGGATACAGTTTAAAGTAAACTTTACTGCACTTATCATTTATGTCTTGTTTTTATCATTTATAGTCAAAAGTAAGAAAGAACAATATGGCAGCATTTTCTGTAACAGATTATGTTAAAAGATCACATACTGTCTCATATCGATCGCAGGCCCTGAATCGCACGGAATCAGATCATATCACAGCAGACTTTAAAATATCAGCATATATCATATCCAAAGAATCGATTTAATATCGTATCATGGTGATTTACATCCTTGGTAAATATGACTGAATTATACTTTGGTTTTCATGGTTTCCATAAAACAAACTGAACAATTGAATTCTGGAGAATCAAAGAGTTAATGATGTGTAGCATGTCCATATCGACAAAAGTTTGATGTTAAACATACATACTTTGAAGCACAATGCTTATGCTGCATAGAACTAGCTTATGCAGATTCCCAGTGGGCTCCTGGTGCGTTTTAAGAGGTTTTAGTAATTTAAAAGCCAAGATCTTGTTTATTTAAAATCACATGAAAACTCCCAGATCCTGCCTTGTTACGTTAATGCTAAGCCTTCTTAATCATAATTTTAGGAAGACTTAAAAGGGAGGGAGGGACAGTAGCACTGAGTAAAACCAGAGTGCAGTTGACAAGTGATTGGTGCTGACTTGTCATAATGTCTTTATAAGCTTTAAAATTGTAATGTCTTTACGACTGGTAAAGTGTGAGCCTGTGTGTGTGTCTGTGTGTGTTATGTGGTCCTGGTGACACCAAATGAAGTGGGAACTACCACATAAGCCGTTGTGAGTATTTTGCCGGGTGGTAATAGGTCTGTCTCTCTGTCTGTGGACACTTTGTCAACGCGATAACGTCACAATCGTGCAAGAAGAAGTCACGAAACTTTACAGGTGTGTAGTTGAGATCAAAATAAAGGTTGAGTTCAAAGATGGGTGTCATCCAAGCAAGGGTGCTGGAAGTAGAGAAGGGGACATTGACCACCCCACTTTACACCCCTGGCTGGAAAACAGTTCTACATTGAAATGGGCTGTCTGACAGAAAGGTAAAGTTATGACAATATTCTAAATATAGCATTCACTTAAACAGATATTGTATTTTTAGGTGGGTTTTTAGGTAGCTAAAAACACAATTGCTGAGCACTGTTAAATTGTTATGTAAGTGACACCAGAGATTTCTACCTGGAGGTTATTGAAAACAAACACTGTGATTTGGTCTAGAGAAGTTTAGATAAGTCAAGAAAAAAATAATAAAAATTGCCCCAAAAACTTCAGTAGACCTAGCATTTGAAAGATAAACATTATGAATTTAAGTTCATTTATTGACTTATTAATAAATTAATATTGCACGTTGGGATGCTTTTCTTGTTGTATGAGTGGTAATGCTAACATATCATCAGCATGTGGAAATGATCTCATAGGGCCAGCACTTGAAGTGCTGGTGCTAAATGTACAAGACGAGCAACTTGACTCAATTATAGCTGAACAATAGGCCAGTGATGATGGTGATGATGACAACATTGCCTTTGTTGATGACAGTCTTGACAACAGTGATGAAGTTCAACCAGCTGAAGACACTGCCGCTGAGCCTGAAGTTGACATAAAAGTCTACCAGCCTGTGGAGGCAGAAGATCCCCTGCCTGGAGGATCCAGCAGGAGGGCATGATGAAGACGGTCATGAGATGAGCAGCAAGTGATTCAGGTGCTTGTCTGACATTGTCTCTGACAGAGAAAATGAGAGCGATAATGAGGAAGATGAACCAGCGTCAGAGCCCACCTATAGCCCAGCGCCAAGTGATGATGAGATGAGCAGCTGGTGACTCAGGTGCTTGTCTGACGCTGTCTTCGAAAGCCACACTGACAGCTATGCTGAGGAAGATGACCCAGTGTCAGAGCTCTCCTCTGGCCCAGCACCAGAATGATCCAGGAGGAGGTCAAGAGAGGAAGATAATGAAGTTGATGAGATGAGAAGCAAGCAATTCAGGTGCTTGTCTCGTGCAGTGTTTGACACAGAGACACTGAGGCAGTAGACCTAGCGTCAGTGTCCTCCTCTAGCCAAGTGCTTGGAGGATCCAGGAAGGAAGGACGCTGAAAGTTTGCTGACAGACTACAGTGACTGTAACACCCCATCTCCTGGGAGATGTTGTTTAAGATGGTCATCCCTGGAATAAAAGAATGATCAAAAAACACTAACAAAATGATCATCTCTTATTCTGATGAATCTGATGTCATCTTACTGTTTTTCAGCGTCTTTAAATATATCTGTGGAAACTGCACTTCACTTCACATCTTTTTTAAGTGTGTATTACAGCTGTACTGTACTAAAATGTTTGAGTTTCTAGAGATTTACATTGTTTACTTTTGACTATGGAAATAAATTTTGCATACATATACATACACTAAGGAAATCCATTCATTTGAACCCTTATTTAAGCCTTGAAAAAAGTGTCTTCCCTCATTTCCAGTGATGTCGAGATACAGAATAATACACAGATTTTTTTTTTTTTTTTTTTAAATAAAACAACAACAACAAAAAAAAACAGAACTATACTATTGTGAAAGCAAATGCACACCAAGGTGAAGTGGTTTGAGATCATCGTCTTGAGAATGCTGGCTTTATGGTTTTAGCTGGCTAACGTTAGCTAACGTTAGCTTGCTCACTAACCCGGATGAACTGCTTGCTAGCTAACATAGAAAAATACTGTCTTGAGTGATAAACGTCATTTAATTAATCAACTCCAGGGCTGATCTGGCTTATATGGCTATCTTGTCGTAGGCAAATTACTTTATTAGCTAACGTTACTAAGCAAGCAATGCCAGATCAGACTAGTAGCCCAGTTATAGCTAGCTGGCTACCTTATCTTGTAATCACAGTCAATCTTGTGTTTGCCACTGCCAATGCCTAGGTGCTCACTCACAGAGTGCGAGCACCAGAGTGTGAGCAAAGACGGTGGATAAACTAAGACAGTCCTCTGCGAGTCAGTTTACTGTATCAGTGTCACGTGGGGTTCGCAACCACTACGCCCCTTTAGGGCGTATACTATACTATACTAAAGGCCAAAACACACCGGCGGCGTATGACGCGCGTCAAAATAGCCGCCCCCATTATTTTCTATTTACAAACCTACACCGGCGGCTCGACGCACGACGTGCACTTTACGCTATTGTCCTATTTTTCCAGCGTCGCCGCCCTTGAAAAAGCGCTATTTTGTACTTCCCAGCCTAGCAGACTGGAGTGTGCAATAGAAATCTGGTTGACGCCCTGCAGCGCGACACTTTTTGTGTGTGTTGGGGGTGGCACTTGACTCGTGTCAATAAAGCCGCCGTCATATGATGCCGCCGGTGTGTTTTGGCCTTACAGCAGGTCCTGAGTCCATTGACTTCAGTGGGAGAAATGAACGTGATTACAGATTATGGCTGAAATTTACTTTGTACAAGACCTGTCTCTGTCTCAACAACACACTCTCGCAAGATCTGGCAACAGATATCTCCTCTCTGGTGCTGAAATCAGTGCAGTTTCACCAAAGATACTGGATTAAAAAAATATTTTTCCAGCAGATATCTTAGTTACAACATGATTGAGCTAGCAAAGCAGTTTTGTGTTGCTATGTGTGGTATTTATTCAGTTTTGGGAAATCACGATGTCTAGAAAGCATCAGTGGCTGCAGCTGACAGGGACAGCTAACAGCAGCAACAAAGCTAACATCAGGACGTCATCTGTTAAAAGCCTCCCGTTGTCGGATACAACATGAAACTACTCCAGTTAGCTCAATCATGTTGTAACTAAGACATCCGCTGGAAAAAAAAAATGTTCACGGACTGTTTATTTATTTAGCTTACGGCCAGTAAGGGTATACACATATTGACAGAAGTGAGGTTGGGGATACTCGTCTTTGATTGGCGGTTCTCCATCGTCTTTGAATGGGGTACGGGGGACAACGCCTACTTAGTAGACCGGAAATGTATACCATTTCATACAATGGGAGTATATTATAGGTGGGCCATCCTGTAGTAATCCAGTATCTTTGGTGTGAGCAACAGGATGCTGACTGCATTTCACTGAACGGTCTCAGAGAGAGTTCTCACTAACAACAAATATTTTTTGAAAGTTGCATACAGAACCTTTAATATATCAAAAGTCAAATTTATTTAGATTTTGCAGCAAAAACGTTTTTGTTTTTTTTGGGAATTTTTTTAAAGCTTATGGCTTATTTACATGGTTGATTATGAATTAGAAAAAATAGCTTCTCTGTTAGGGAGTTTTTATGTCAATACATGTGACTTAAGTTTTATACAAAGCCAGTCATTTGTTTTTCTGTTTCTTATTGGAAGTTTGTATGAAAATGTATGATGACATAGGAAACTTTAAGAATTGTACATAAAGACCGGGTGGCAGATATGGTGGTATGAAAATCTATGTATGGTGGCAGGAGGTTTTATGAATCTGTGCTGTGACACACAGTTTTAACGCACCCGTAGTGTGACACTGGAAATTTATACGAAAGTATTTAATAAAAGAGTTTTTCTGCCAAAGTACAGTAGCATGTACTGTGACAAACAGACTTTTTATGTACATGAAGTTGGGGTTGAAGGGGGCAGTAAATAGACAATTTGAGACCAACACAAAGAAAGCCAGCAGGAGGAGGATACTGGTCTGTCTGTGGCCGTCTGAAGCTCTCTGGTAGGTGGGCTTCATACAGCTGTCTGGCCCTCGTGTTGCCCATGTCCACCATACTCTGCAAGAAGAGAGGGAAAGGAAGAAAAACCTTAAAATATATATGTGGTGTTAATACTAGCAAGGCAATTGGTAAAGTGTAAGGCTGTGCTGAATGTCTTTTTTTTACATTCAGAACTTTTATCAAGCTTTTCGAATGAAGCTTTGAATGTCTGTCATCATATTTGATGAATATTAAACATGTATCGAATATTTTTTTAATGAATAAATGTAATTTATGGTGCTGTTAGACTGCTGATAGACCACCCCGCTAATACAGTTGCATGCCTCCCTCTTGTGAGAGCAAACAGTTTTTTGGCTGCAGTAAAAATGTTGTTTTTGAAAGGCTAAATGCCAACAAATACGGATTGAGACAGAATATTTCATTAAATAAAAAAAATGTTGTGAAATTTGGAAATGATTACATATATCTTTTCTTTTCAATAAATTTTGACTTTTGGACTTTGCAGCGCTTTGGATTCGGAAACATCCTACGCAGCCACCACTGGAATCTAATTATTTAAACAGTATAATATTAATAATAGTAGTGTAGCCGAATCTTGATCTGCAACTGTGTAGAAATACTGGGTTTGAATAGGTGGAATAGTCATGCAACAAAAAAGGCTGTGCAGCATTTGAATGCTGATTTAGAATTCTAATGCCAAAATTATGAAAGAAGCTTTGGAGCTTCAAACTACTCGGTACAGCCCTAGTAAAGTGCTTTTAAGAACATGTCAAACACACACAGGGAGTTCTTTGATTCATCACATTTGCATTCAACTCAATTTGCTTGCTGACTCCTTTCCATGCACGCTCACACACACATGCGAACGCACCAAGTGAAAGACACACTGGTCGTATGTGTCAAGGCTAAATTAAGAGGAGGGTGATAAATGGGGTGATGATAGGAGAAGTGGAGGAGATGGAGTCAGAATAATCAGCCATCCAGAATTAATTAGTCATTGAAAACAGTGATTAACATTCAGAGTGAGACCCTTTTGACTCACACTCAGCTGATGGATAGGCACTGGCTTGATGAAACACACACACACGCCTTTAACATTGTGCTCACATACACACCGAACAATTGGATATATTAACAACTGGATGATTGAATAAATTATGGACATGCTCAGGTGAGTTTCACAGACACACACACCAGCTCCTGATTTATTGTGTGTAATTGAATCAATGTGACATGCTAGTTAGCCACAAAACACACCTATACACAGACTAATTACTGTTCTCTATATTCCCAAGGTGTGTGTTTACACATGAGCATGTATACTCATATATCATGTTGATAGAAGGCGGGAAAATACGTTTAATTCATAATTTGAACAACCATCTGCAATGGTTACTATTTAGAATAATATTACTATCAGCAATGTTCTGATACTTCATTTGGACCATTGGCTCCATGATACTGACTAGCTTACCATTTGAAAAACCACACCTTATATTACGAGCAACCATGTAGAATACCTAAGTTACAGTTAGCTGGCTAACATTAGCTCAGGTTATTGTTAGCTTGTTGGCAACTACTACATCGCTCCTGGCTAATGAAAAGTGCTTTGCTCTTGTATCTTCTATTGTTGGCTAAATTAGCATTGATTGGTATAACATATAAGTTGGTATCCCATACTTATTTAGCTGGGAAAGGTAATTTTGCAAGCTAGCCAACAAACAAATCCACTCAGTATTTTGCGAGCAATAACGTTAGTGAACAATTTAGCTAAGGTAGCCAGCTAGCAAGTAAGTCTAACCAAGCTTTGATACATTGATCTGGCATTGTTTGCTACGTGACCTCAGCTGATAATGTAATTTGCAAATGGCAAGATAGCCAATATAGCAGCCAGATAAGACCTAGAGTCTGGATGAATTCGTAAATGACGTTCCTCTGCATTAGCAAGCAAGCTAACGTTAACTAACATTAGCCAGCTAAAACCACAATATTAATATATATTTAACATATTTACTGCTAATGTTGGGATTTCTTTTCAACACCCAGGGGCACTGATATTATAATATGGGTCACTGAACTTAATGGATGTACTGTTTATCAGACAACAAACAAGACAAAAATTAGCTAGCAAGCACAGCCCACGGACCCTTTACCTCACTCCGCGCTGCTAGGACACAACTTCCGGTCAAGATGGTGGTCCACAGGGTGGTCCAGGATCAGACCCCTGGTGCTCAGGCTTGCACTGGCTGAATTTGAGTTGCTATGGGGCACTTAAAAGGCTGTCTCCTCTAGGCCAAAATGTTTACAATAGAAATAGCATGTGTGGAGTCTGTCTTGTGGTGGGTGCCAGTCATTTGTTGGTGTTGGCTGAATCTATTTCGTTAGCTGACTCAACGTTAGCGACTGTTGCACACTGCTAGTTCTGTAGCGAGAGAGGCAAGGCACTGAAATGCGGTAACTCCACATCCTTTGGATTTTCCAGGAAACATGTGACCTGAGTTAGTAACATAGAAGTAAGTCTACAGGTTGCAGAGGCAACCGAAAGAGTCAGGGAAAGTCTCAGCTTTTTACTTAGGTTACAAATACTGATGAAAAGTTACATACAGAACCTTTAATGTCTTGGTAATGTCAAAGACTCTACAGATAGTAAAACCAAAATTATTTTTTTTGTCACTCTTACTGGTTTCTTTATTTTATTACTTTTACCAAGGATGTTATGTTTCAGTTCGGTTTGTCGGTTTGTTTGGCCGTTGTCAGCAGGATTACAGAAAAACGAATAAAACTTGATGGAAAGGTGTAGCATGGGCCACAGAGGAACCCATTACATTTTGGAGCGGATCTGAATGACAGGGTGGATACACAAATTATTCTTCATTTTTGTTTACATTAGGAGATAGAGCATTTAGTCATCACTGAATAAATGTCATACATCTTAAAATCCAGGAGAGGATAGTTAGGTTTAATAGTGACAGAACATAGCCTATTGTAGAAATATAATGATCCATAACACAAGCCATATTCAGTTGTACCAGTAACGCTCTGGGGTAGTCTCCACATGTAGTTGCTCAAACGTCATACAGAAAGCAGTCATTATGGTGCACTCTGGGCCAGTGGTTCATGGGAGAACTGGCACAATTGTAACAATGCCAGGGTAATACCGTTTTTTTTCTCAAACTAGGTGTGGCTATATAAACATACCATGCAACATACTGTACTCTTACCCACATCCAAATTTCAAAATTTCAATTGTCTGTGATAAACTCTACCAGAGATATTACTTTAAATTTGACTCATGCAACAATTTCTTCCTTGTAAACATACAGTTTTTTATAACTGTTTTTGATAAAAAGCTGTCATGTTCATATTTCTTCAGTCTAAGCACTTGATATTTGTACATAGTGTTCTCACAGATGAATTTTAAGTATGTCAAATATTTCCAGTTTAGAGGTATATAATATTTCCAGACATATAGTGGTCGCACTTGCAGCTTTTCATATGACAGAAAACTGGGCGATTGGCCTTGGTGGAGGTTTGTGCTCTGCAAGTGCCCTTCTAGTTTCCATTTCGGATAAATATATTTGAATATACAGTACAGGCCAAAAGTTTGGACACACCTTCTTATTCAATGCGTTTTCTTTATTTTCATGACTATTTACATTGTAGATTCTCACTGAAGGCATCAAAACTACGAATGAACACATGTGGAGTTATGTACTTAACAAAAAAAGGTGAAATAACTGAAAACATGTTTTATATTCTAGTTTCTTCAAAATAGCCACCCTTTGCTCTGATTACTGCTTTGCACACTCTTGGCATTCTCTCCATGAGCTTCAAGAGGTAGTCACCTGAAATGGTTTCCACTTCACAGGTGTGCCTTATCAGGGTTAATTAGTGGAATTTCTTGCTTTATCAATGGGGTTGGGACCATCAGTTGTGTTGTGCAGAAGTCAGGTTAATACACAGCCGACAGCCCTATTGGACAACTGTTAAAATTCATATTATGGCAAGAACCAATCAGCTAACTAAAGAAAAACGAGTGGCCATCATTACTTTAAGAAATGAAGGTCAGTCAGTCCGGAAAATTGCAAAAACTTTAAAAGTGTCCCCAAGTGGAGTCGCAAAAACCATCAAGCGCTACAACGAAACTGGCACACATGAGGACCGACCCAGGAAAGGAAGACCAAGAGTCACCTCTGCTTCTGAGGATAAGTTCATCCGAGTCACCAGCCTCAGAAATCGCAAGTTAACAGCAGCTCAGATCAGAGACCAGATGAATGCCACACAGAGTTCTAGCAGCAAACCCATCTCTAGAACAACTGTTAAGAGGAGACTGCGCGAATCAGGCCTTCATGGTCAAATAGCTGCTAGGAAACCACTGCTAAGGAGAGGCAACAAGCAGAAGAGATTTGTTTGGGCCAAGAAACACAAGGAATGGACATTCGACCAGTGGAAATCTGTGCTTTGGTCTGATGAGTCCAAATTTGAGATCTTTGGTTCCAACCGCCGTGTCTTTGTGAGACGCAGAAAAGGTGAACGGATGGATTCCACATGCCTGGTTCCCACTGTGAAGCATGGAGGAGGAGGTGTGATGGTGTGGGGGTGTTTTGCTGGTGACACTGTTGGGGATTTATTCAAAATTGAAGGCACACTGAACCAGCATGGCTACCACAGCATCCTGCAGCGACATGCCATCCCATCCCATCCGGTTTGCGTTTAGTTGGACCATCATTTATTTTTCAACAGGACAATGACCCCAAACACACCTCCAGGCTGTGTAAGGGCTATTTGACCAAGAAGGAGAGTGATGGAGTGCTGCGGCAGATGACCTGGCCTCCACAGTCACCGGACCTGAACCCAATCGAGATGGTTTGGGGTGAGCTGGACCGCAGAGTGAAGGCAAAGGGGCCAACAAGTGCTAAACACCTCTGGGAACTCCTTCAAGACTGTTGGAAAACCATTTCAGGTGACTACCTCTTGAAGCTCATCGAAAGAATGCCAAGAGTGTGCAAAGCAGTAATCAGAGCAAAAGGTGGCTATTTTGAAGAAACTAGAATATAAAATATGTTTTCAGTTATTTCACCTTTTTTTGTTAAGTACATAACTCCACATGTGTTCATTCATAGTTTTGATGCCTTCAGTGAGAATCTACAATGTAAATAGTCATGAAAATAAAGAAAACGCATTCAATGAGAAGGTGTGTCCAAACTTTTGGCCTGTACTGTATATAATATATGAATATATTTAAGGATTTAGCAATTAGAGTTCCCATCATGCTTCGGGTCATGGAAAAGATGATGTAAATCTGCACCATAACCGTTCATGCAGCGTGAGCCACCAGCAGCTTAAACATAGATATGTTTGTGTACAATTTCTGTGTGTTTCAATTTGACTGTAAATCTGAGAGGAAAGGATGCAACTTCTGACACAAACTGGGTCAACTCTGGTTCAAAGAGTTAAAAGAAAACCTCGTCCGTAAAACAGAAATTACATTGTGCCACTCCAGTGATTTTTAAAGGCCAACCTGCACAAAGCAAACAATAATTATCTGATAATTTGTTGACCATTTTCTCCAACTGTTTTTTTATTGTATTTGAAGCACAGCTTGTTGACTGTCCCAATTTTAAAATGGAAAAGTAAATCATGTTGAAAATCACAATAATCAGAACATCTGATCCTTGATAGGGGAGCTACTGGCCAGGACCACAACGAATCAAGTCCAAATTGGTCTGATTAGAACCGTAGATATAAATTAAAAAGAGTAACAGTAACAGTACTGAAAGGCAGTGAGAATTGTCATTGATGGTGTGTACGTCCCTGTTTGTGTGTGTATACCTGGATCTGCTCGGGTGTCCACTGGTCCAGATTGACAGATTTGACTCTGGAGATGTGGACACCCAGGTTACGGTGGATGCCGGCACAGCGGATACACATGAATACCCCGAGGTTCCATGACGCCCATCGAGGACCTAAAATAGGAAAGAAAGAGAAAGGGAGATTTCTGCACTGTATACAAAGGCTGATGTAAGGGTCCTGCTGTGTTTAACTGACTCAGTTCAGTAGTACTGCTGCAGAGAGGAGGACTCCATCCCTAACATTTGAGACAATGTAGCTTCAGTCTTTCAATTAAAATCTAAATTGTGGAAGTCATAAAACAGCAGGAAGTGATCAATTAAATTTGGCTGTGAAATGAAAAAGCAAACGAGAGACCGCTATTCACTCCAAACCTCTTCACCCAACACAGTCCATCAAAAATTTGCTTTAACGTATCAAAGTTAACTCAATTCCAAGTGGGAATTTGCCAAGTACAGTTTCTGAATTTGTCATCTAACAATAAAAGCTTTTCTAGGTTCTGGCAACACTTTGTTAGAAACAAATATAGCAAGACCTCTGTGGTCAGTATGAGCAGTGATGTCCACCAAATACAAAGATTAAGAAAACAGTCCTATCCACAGAAACTCGAGCTGAGAAGTCGCACTTTGGACAAACTGTTTGACTGACAGGGGATTTGTGGAAAGTGCAGGAGCACACAGGTACAGTACACTATCAGAGTTTGACAGAAACTCAAGAAGTTAATAAGAAAAGATAAAATCCAAACAGCACAAACATTCAAAGCCTTTACTCACTTTGGAGAAATTGTCTCACTTGAAAAGCCTAGTTTAGTATTTCAGAACGTACACATTTCAACTTTAGGTTATCCTGAGACATTTTGAAGACATTCTTATCAAAACTGCTCTGGAAGTAATATCCCAAATCCCTTCAGTACATGTTAATGGGATTTTACAAAGGAGCATAGTGAGGTCTGTATTATTTATGGATATCATTTGATTGCAGTTCCTGTGGTTTAAGAAATATTCTCCTCTATAAAAGTACAGTTCAGTTAGTCATTTTGAAGCACAAGAAAATGTGCAGATTTATCATTTTTTATATTAAATGTACAAGTTGTGTCTCTAGAGCAGCTGCATTTAATCAACTCCAAATTAGACAGAGTTTTTTAAATGCTACAGACTTTTAAGATTGCTTCAAATCTGGTCTTTAAAGGCTGAAGAAATATGAAATTCATGTACTTGTATGGCATTTATTCTCAATTTCTTTCATTTGGTGATTAATAGCTTTAATTAAATGTCAGTATAATTAAAAACCTATAATCAAAAATAAAAGGTACAATAAAAACAGGCATTTCAGTCCAATAAAAGCAACTTTGAGTTTAATAAACTGGTTTTCAAAAGCTTTCACTAGCTCAAGGGTCAAGGGGAATTTTAAATTCATAAAGCCTAACCAGAATTAAAACAAGAAAACTGCCACATTATCCGTTATATGTGGTATGACGACGGGGTGAAATACAGCTCTAAATCCATTCTTTCTGAGCGCAGTACAAATTCTCATAGCACCAAACTGAAACCAACTCAATTTGGGAAGAGTCCAAGTTGGATTTTGGATCTCTGCTTGCTAGACAGAGGTCACTGCAAAAATAACCATACATGGGGTTACATAAAAAGCCCTGGCAGAGAACAAGAAACAAGGCCACGAGCTTGCTGCACAGAACCAGAAGAAGCAAAGAACCTTCAGGCAGACGCAAACAAGACTTTGACTCCTGCTGACACATGATCATGCCATGTCTGTTGAGAGGAGGGATGGAAATTTTGAATCATCCCACAATCAACTGCCCCATAAGAGTCAGTCTGAAGCAGGGTCTGATGTCTGATAACCCTGCAACCCTGCAGTCCTGCAACAGTAGTCTAGGACCTTTGCCATGACAACATAAGATATCAAATACTCTAAAAAGCAACTGTTCACCAAATCCTTATCCTGTGGCCACTGTCCAATCATAGGTTAGCAACCATCACTAGGCACAGCAGGGTGGTAGTGTAGATTTCTCTACAAGCCAAAGCATGGGGCAGTACCCTGTTTATTTTTTTTTTAGCTTTTCAAAAACCAAACACACAGGAACAATTGCACAAGTATGTCTGTACTGTATTCCTCATAGTAAGGCTGGGCAATTTATCAATAGTATATCAAAATCGTGATATGAGGGTAGATATCTTTAATTCTGGATATTGTAATATCATTAAGTGTTGTATTTTCCTGGCTTTAAGGGGTGCATTACAGTTAAGTGATGTAATTTTCTGAACTAAACAGACTGTTCTACCCACCTAGTCATTAGCCTATATCCACATTACTGATGATTATTTATAAAAAAAAAAAAAATCTCATTGTGGAAATATTTTGTGAAAGTACCAATAGCCAACCTTACAAAATTGAAATATTGATTTTGAGGTATTTTGTGAAATTTATCATATTCACTTTTCTCCATATCACCCAGCCATATCTCATTTTAGTCCTATTCTTGCCAAGCAGTCACACACACTGTATTCTTTCTTGACGGTTTTCAGTCTTGGCACAAATATGTCTTTCACTTTTCATGTGAACAACCAAGTGCAATACTTTGAGTGTCTTCCAGGAGAGACTGTCTGAGAATGTGCGGCGTTATACCCACATTTACATTTCATGTTTCCTTCCTCTCAGTGACAGTCAGCTTTGCACTCCATCATGGGGTTGAAAATTTGCACTTGATGGTTAATAATATGATATTATACTAAAAGACTGAAGCTGAGGGCCTGGCTCTGCTGGAAAAACGTGGTTTGTACGATGTGTTGTCTGATCACTTTGGATATCAGATGTGTTTGTATCTGTTTCCAATGATCACATTCAAAGACTGTCATTTTAAAACTAGTCAGCTGGAGACATTAAAAAGTTAACTCATGAAGCTAAACTTAGCTGATTTTGCCAACTTATTTCAGCAGTTAAACCAGCCACAGACAGTTTTCATTTCAGCAAATAAACCTGGCGCTGACCAGCTAAAAATGAGATGACAGCTTTTGTCTGCTTCTGTCTGAGATCAAGGTCCCACTGTGTGAAAAATGAATAAGAATTTTGCATGGTAAATCTGCCAACATTACCATTGTAAGCTGCATTTGTGCAGAGAGACAACAGAAAGACTGACAGACAGAAAAGGTAACAAAGAGGAATGGGGCTTAAACTATGGCAGAATTCAAACAACATTAGACTCTCCAACCCCCACTTCATTGAAAATAAAATAAAATAAGTTGCTAAAGGGATCTCAAAAGACACCAAAATTAGGCAATAGACTTCTTTCCCATTGCCAGTAGACGAGTATGCCTCTGTTTTTTTCTTTACTAGTGTGTCATGGTTGACATTGGAGATGTGTGGGAAAACACGTAAATGGGCATTATTGTTGGATTTTCTCTCTTGAAAAATTACAAAAAGCTCCACTCAATCCCACAATTGAAAAGCAGGATTTAAATGCTGTAAGACACTTCAACACATACCTCTCAACCTTCTGAGGCATATTAAGGCCCTAGTCACTGAAACCCAGAATATTAAAGGGGCAGTTCATTCCAAAATCAAAATTCTAGATTTGTCCTCATACCTGTATTGCTATTCAGCAGTCTAGATTGTTCTGGTGGGGGTTGCCAAGTGTTGGAAATATGGAACATAGAGATGTCTGCCTAAATGGCAGAAAAATTGAGAAAATGCCTTTGCTTGTGTTGCTCAAAGCACCAAAAAAGAAGAAAGCACGCATCTACTCATGGACAAGAGGCTCCTGACAGTGTGAGATGTTAGCATCAATGGCGTCTGCCTCGGCTGAGCTGTAATGTTATCAAGCTCAGTAGTGCTAGGTGAGCTAACAGTAGGTGCACGCTTACTTCTGCATAGTAATACAGTTGGCGGGTGTAGTTTCATAGAAAGGACATAGTTCCTACATGAAACTGCTCACATCTGTGGATTATCTTAAGTAATTAGTTCATGATTTCTGGAAAGATACATTGCTGTTGAGTTATTCAATTGCATTTTTTTGGCACTTTGAGCACCACAAGCCAAGTGCCATCTAGCACCATTGAGAGAAGGCAGACATCTCACGGCCAATATCTCCAACATTCGGCAACTCACACCAAAACAATCTACATGTATAAATGGTACTATAGGTAAAAGGAAAAATATGTTATCTCGATTTGGGGGTGAACTGTTCCTTTAACACACTCATGCATAGTTTTGGAATCCTCTTAAAAGATCTTGTTTGAGTGAGTCCAGGTTAAGAGCTTCCCACAGAAATCTGTGGTCCAAATACATCATCAATCATATATAACGTAGTACAAAACAACCCTTGCTCTGCCAAATCTCCATGGGGATGAATGGGAGATGGCACAGAAATGACAGTCAAATCATTTTAATGGGCTAGTGGCTACAGTCCCTCAGCACCATCGTTGGCTCTATCCCTCTCCAGACCGTGAAGCTTACTATCTGTCAATTTGACGATTGAAAGCGACTTTGAACACAGCAAGTGCAAAGGATCAACTTTTATGGATCCGGGCTACATAATGGTGGTGCAGCAGGGATGGTTGGATGGCAGCGGGGATGCATGCAGTCTAGTGGGCCTGCCTGTCTCGAGTAAGAGCATCAGTGTGTTAATGCAGTGGCACTAATGCGCTAGACGGCCTAAAGGAGCATTAAGGCAGGGATGACTGAGTGTTAAGCCTGAATCAAGCAGCTCAGCCATTGTAAGCTGGACTCTATCTGTATGGATTGGACCTCACTTTGGTTTGCTCTTAGATAACCTCTTTCAACACATTCTCCAAAACATACTGTACTTCTCTTGTACTTTACATACAGAGCACATGCAGTGTGTGCATACCCACATATCGCACATGTACGCATGCAGTGGCTGAAAATCAATTTTTGGCACACTGCAAATCCAGATACACTGACATTTTCCTAACAGTAGGTTTTCACAATGGATTCTCATTCTCCACTGGCTGCAAAGTATTTCTATTACTGTGAGAAAATCAATTGAGCGCTTCAGCAGGGTCTGACTGTATTTAGAAAAGTGAATGGCTCACACAAATTATACTCTAAAGTATGCTATTGTAGAAAGACATAAGCTTTCACT